AAAAAAAAAAAAAAAAAAAAAAAAAAAAAAAAAAAAAAAAAAAAAAAAAAAAAAAAAAAAAAAAAAAAAAAAAAAAAAAAAAAAAAATCAGAGAAGAGGAATTGGGGTTTCCTTTCCCTTCGAATCTTGTGATATTTTAGCCAAGTTCCAACGGATAGAGGCGATAAAGAACGTGAGACAATTTGAGCGGGATATCAAGGGGCGGGGATTTATATAAGGGGGGAGAAAGAAGGTGCAAGGCGCGTGGATAACGATGGGAAACAGGCGCGTGGAGGCGTATAGATATGCTAATAAAAATCCCTCTCTCTCTTATCCCTAAAAAGAAAATTGTTTCCCACGGAAAATTCTACCCACCTCCTTTTCATTTTCGTGACTTCGTCCGGTTTCGGTTTTGGAATGGGGAAAAATTAAACTCCTTTCAATTCCATTCACAAGTCCGCAAGAATGGGGCCCGCTATCCGAGTCAATGACGGATCCGTTTTTGTTTAATTTGTTGGCTCTCTTTCGGTGGCTCGGCTCAGCTGCCTTCAAATTATTGGTCTCAGCAAAAAAACAATTACTAAAATTGCGTTTAAACCCTTTTTGGTAATTTCCCTCTCTTTCCTTTTCGTCAAGTCTTTACCCAAACAATTGGAATTTAGTATGCAGAATATGGATTTTGTACCTACAAACCCACTTCCCACCTTATTATTATTATTTTAATTTAAACATAAAACATCATGCTCCTAATGTCTTTAACTGCCAAATTAAAAAATTAAATATTATTTTACTTTTGGTAAACAAAAAGACTACAAATTCTTCCCCATTATAAGATTTGTATTTATTTCTTTAATCATATCACTATGCTTCAATGATAAAACATTATAAAATAAATGTAAATATATTATTTAAATGAAATGCCCAAATATTGAATGTAAATATATTATTTAAATGAAATGCCCAAATATTGAATGTAAATATATTATTTAAATGAAATGCCCAAATATTGAATGTAAATGGTCCAACAAAACAATGGCATGAATAAGGTGAGTTGGAATTTGTCCAAAAAAGGACCGAATTGGGAAGCCAATAATCAAAGTGCTTGATTGTGCGCTTTTCTACAAAATCTCCAAATTGGCGATGACGTGTATGCCCACTCCACCTTCAAAATTTTAAAATTTTAAATTTAAAATTAAAATAAAAGGAGAATATCTTCTAAAGGTACAAAATCTTGTGGTGGGCTCAGCCAATGGGATTTTTTTCAGATACACAGAGGAAAATTAATTATTAAAAACGCCACACACATTTCAGAATCTTTTTTTTTTTCCTTTAATTTTATATTGCGTGTATAAGAAAATAAAATAAAGAGAATTACAAATTATAAAATAAAATGTAAAATTGGAGTGGAAGGGTAAAATAAAATTAGCGAAATTTCTTTTTTATTGACTTTCTAGAATTAATTAGAGACACGTTATTCCCTTACCAACCGTTGGATATTTTGAAATTTTATTTTTTATTTTTAATTTGAAAGGATATATTTAGAAAGGAATAAATTCCAATGGATGCTAAAAATCAGTTGTCACAGTCGTAAATTTCTTACATAAATTAATAATGTGTAAAATCAATATTGTACTATATTTAGATTATTGATCAAATGCGTAAATCATGCTTTTAATATTACTTCACTTACACACAAATGGTCGTGCAGTTATTTTAAAACAATAATAGTTATTTAATGGTTGAATGGAAGAAAAATATATTTTATTTATTTTCTATTTTTCAAATTCAATAATATCGAGGGTGTAATCATTTACTTGACTGGTTGTTTTAGTTAATAAATCTTGCATATTACCAATTTTGGTAATTTACATCAAATTTATATTTACTTTTTTTGGTGCATTAAGTAATTAAATTACCATCCTGATTATTCAAACCTTGATAATTGTGTCTATTTTTTTAATATATATATATATATATATATATATATATATATATTAAAATTAAAAATTAAAAAAAAAAAACATTTGGTTGAGTCTGTGAGCCACACCCAGTGTGGGGTGGGGAACCGATTCTGCCAAAATATCAGCAACTGGCCGACACCCTCCATTCCTTCCTACCAAATAATACATATATTTCGGAAATAATAACAATAATGATACCTTAAAATGTGTGAAAGAAATAAAAACAAGAACAAGAGTGTGGATATTTGACTTTTTAATAATCCATATTTTCGGCATTTAAATTCCTATTTATTTTGCTTTTCAAATGGACCCGTTGAATTAGAAATAAATTCATTGAATTCGAGATAAGACCGAGACCGCCAACGATTTTTTAATACACAAATTGGGATTTATTAGTCGTAATTAAAATGGATTTATAAATATTTGAAATAGTCGCGACAATATTTCTTTGAATCACCAACCAACGAAGAATAAATGGATTATATATTTATTCAGTAATTTGAGCCCATCAAGGCTGGAGACTGGAAATTCAAACTGGGCCTTTTCTTTATCAATTCAATTGGGCTTTAGAAAGCGATCACAGCCCGAATGAAGAGTTGCCGTATATGGGCCTCACCTGTACAAGCCCATCAATTTCGGTTTTATTTTAGTTATACGTAGCTTCGCTTAATATAATTATAGTTCCTAATCCTTATGGTTAGTGTTAAATAATTATCTTAATCTTAAAGCTACTCTTTTTCATGAGTTAATGCCTGGTTTGATTTTTTTTATTTTTTTTATTTTTATATAATACATGATTTGACTTGAGAAGACAAAAATTATATTCTTTTGACTTTTGTACAAACCACGTGCCCAAAATCATTGGCAATAATAAATATTAACTTTGGAAACAAGTATGTCTCAATGTTGAAGTAATGATGTATATTATTTTGGCGACATTCTAATTTTTTTTTTTTTTTTTTTTTTTTAACGTAAAAGTATTAATGCATTTCGAGAATTAAATAATAAAATTTCAGAACCGATTTTGTCAAATATAAAACACTAAAAAATTAAATTAAATAATTATATGCTACTCCAAGGAAATATCTCATATCACGGGTAGCTAAAATAGACAGCTTGTGTAAAAATACTAAAATTTATGACGCAAAAATAATCCGAAAAAGTGAATTATCTTTCTAAAAAGACAATTTGTTTATTTATTTATTTATTTATTTTCACTCGTTTTTCTCTACTCTTAAATAGTGCACTGCAGTGCTACACTTCTCCAAGCTCCGATGGCGACATTGCAGTTGCAGGCTCCCTCGTTTCATGCTCTGTTTCTTTTCTCCCTGTTCTTCTTTGGCCTCTGTGATTTCGGCGTGAAATCAGCCGACGCCCTTCCATCCAAGAAAATAGGCAATGGCTACCGTTTGATTTCGGTCGGCGAGGCCCCCGGCGGCGGCATTCTCGGCTTCCTCCAAGTTAACGCTGAAAGCCAAGTTTACGGCGCTGATATCCCCTTCTTGCAGCTATTTGTGAAGTACATTGAAATTCATAACCCCATTTGTACATAATTTTCATTTTTCGGTTCATTTTGATTGATTTGAGTAATTTGATTTTACAGGCATGAAACAGAGCATCGTTTGAGAGTCCATATCACGGATGCGAAGAAGAAACGATGGGAAGTTCCGTACAATTTGTTACCGAGACAAAACCCTCCGCCGCCGAGAGGGGCTGTCGTTTTCCCCAAAAACAACGTAACCGTTTCAGAATATGCCGGGTCGGAGTTGATTTTCAGTTATTTCGCTGACCCATTTAGCTTTACGGTGAAGAGGAAGTCAAATGGGGAGACTCTTTTCAATTCGGGTAGCGATGAATCCGACCCGTTTAACAGCCTTGTGTTTAAGGACCAATATTTAGAAATTTCGACCAAATTGCCGGAAAGCGCAGCGTTATACGGGCTGGGGGAGAACACGCAGCCGAAAGGGATGAAACTGCAGCCCAATGAGCCTTACACTCTTTACACCACCGACGTGGCGGCGGTGACTTTGAACACCGACCTCTACGGGTCCCACCCGGTGTACATGGACCTGAGGAACGGCGGCGGCGGAGGGGAAGCGAACGCTCACGGCGTTTTGCTTCTGAATAGCAACGGGATGGATGTGTTTTACAGAGGCAGCTCATTGACATATAAGATAATTGGCGGTGTTTTGGATTTGTACTTCTTCGCAGGGCCGTCGCCGTTGAGTGTGGTAGATCAGTATACAGCATTTGTGGGGCGGCCGGCTCCCATGCCTTATTGGGCTCTCGGTACGTATGATCATGCTATTGTATTCACACTCCCCAATTTGCATGTTAATTATAGACACAACTAGATTACTTAATGTAATAGCTGATTTAGACTGGTTAAAACATTATATTTTGGATGACAATTCTTGTTATCGAGTCAAAGCAAAAATGGTTAATATGTAGAGAATGAAAATGGTGAGGTTTGTTGGGATAAGGAAGTGTTTTGGGTTTGGTTTGATGTGTCGTGTGGAGGAGGGAAAAAGTGGGTTTGGTTTGGGGATTAATGGGAAGGGAAAGGGAAAGGGAAAGGGAATGGTCCATACTCTAAAGTGGATCTTTCTTGGGGTAAGCCTTCATGGAGTAGTAGCAACATGTGAACGGAGTTAATGTTGTAGGCCTATACGTAAATATACTTATAAGTAGGTGTTGAAGATGGTTGAAGTCGAAGGGATAATGTCATTTTATGAGAAAATTAAAGGTGAAAAAAGCATTTAAGTTTATGTTCTCAAAACTTTAGAGATAAAAATGATCTTATTATATGTGAACTGGAATTTGTAGGGTTTCACCAATGCCGATGGGGCTACCGGAACCTGTCCGTCGTGGAAGACGTCGTGGAGAATTACAGAAAGGCCAAGATCCCACTCGATGTAATATGGAACGACGACGACCACATGGACGGCCACAAGGATTTCACTCTCAATCCCATCAGTTACCCTCATCCAGCTCTATTATCATTTCTCAACAAAATCCACAGCTCCGGCATGAAGTACATTGTCCTAATTGACCCTGGAATCGCCGTTAATTCCACCTATGCCGTCTACCGAAGAGCCCTTGCGAAAGACGTCTTCATCAAACACCAAGGCCACCCTTATTTGGCCCAAGTTTGGCCTGGCCCCGTCCACTTCCCGGACTTCCTCAATCCCGCCACCGTCTCTTGGTGGGCCGATGAGATTAGCCGGTTTCACCAACTCGTTCCGGTGAATG